AAACATCCAGCTATGAATGGGTAATAAAATTGCCATGCATATATGTAGCAGAATGAAATGACAGAAAGTAGATGAAATTGGTAATCATTATATCAAGTGAGGAAAACCATACTCATAAAGACAAATTCTCCATTTCTCTTTCATATGTGGATCCTAGCTTTCAGTTCTCTCTCTCTCTCTCTCTCTCTCTCTCTCTCTCTCTCTCTCTCTGTGTGTGTGTGTGTGTGTGTGTGTGTGTGTGTGTGTAGATATGAGCATGGGTAAAGGTGACCCAAACTAGAGAGAGGACAATAACAAGGAATGAAGAGGCTTGGAGGAAGGGAGGAAAGAATAAATACATGTGACATGACAGTAGAGTGGTAATTACTGGGGTTTGGTTACTTTTAGTGGGGCAATAGGATGGAAGCACTGATAAGAGGATGGACATCAAAAACTACATATGAAATGCTACAATGAAACCCAGTAGTTTATATATTTAGTAAAATTAAAATAAAACATTCCATTAAAATTATAGTCCCATTCATTACTTTGGGAAAGTTCCCCACTCTTTGTTAGGGGCAATAACTTTGCCACCATTATTTTTTAGTCTTTTACAGATGATGCTAATTTTCACTTTTTTACTATTATGTGCCTGTGTATGTGCTTGTGGCTCATTTAAAACCACGGTAACTTCTTGAAATCAGTGTGGTGGGTCCTTAGAAAGATGGGAATTGATCTACACTAAGATCCAGTTGTACTTATCGAGAGATGGATTCCCAACTGGCTGTCTCTTGCCACCAAACAAAGCTTCCCATACCAGGACTAGGACAGGGTTACAACCAATTGAATTGCTGTCCAAGGGGACTCATAGGAATTCCCAGACAACCCAGACTGTTATCAAGACAATGTGTTGCTCTTTGCAAACTAACAACAACAACAACAAAAGGCTCCTTTGATGAAAACAACACCAACAAAACTCACTGAACATAGAGAGGGTGCAATGATGACTACTTAGAACCTTCACATGTTTTAATGTCTTTGGTGTGGAGAGTACTCTATAGGTTATCAGAAGAGAAGAGTAAACACTGACTCAGCTGTAAACCCTTTGATATACAACGCAGTCCTGCCTACAAAAATTGCTATTTCAATGGTGGCACAAAGCTTGTGGGAGAAATTAACCAATGTCCAATTTTAACTTAAGGCCCACTCCACAAGATGGGACCCATACTGGATGCTGACCAAGAACCAGAGACTAGATAGTGCAGAAGACTGGGTAAAGGCAAATACTACTGATCTTAAAAAGAAAAAAAAAGATCGTTTTAAAATGACTCCTAATGATATTCTGCTATACTCATAGATCAGGTCCTTACCAATCATTATCAGAAACACTTTCTTCTGCAGCAGATGGGAACAAATACAGAGACCTATAGCCAGAAATTACCCACACACACACACACAGAGAGAGAGAGAGAGAGAGAGAGAGAGAGAGAGAGAGAGAGAGATCTGGATGGGAGCATAAGTGGTGAAAAACTGAAAAACAGGCAGGAGTAGAGGGAGGGAAAACTGTAATCAGGATATATTATATGTGAAGAAATCAAAAACTCTAATTTTTTTTCAATAGAAGGGGACAATTACCAATTTTCCCATATTTCTTTTATTCTAGTCCAGAGCTAACCAATTAAAGAACACACACACAACTGTGAGAGAATATTGTGTGTTTATGTTTTCCATTATGTTTTTTTTTGTCTAGTTACTAAGCAGTTAAGAAGCAGCTAGTGATAGTAAAAAGTTGAAATTTAAGCTTATCTTTGGTGTGGGAAAATTGTCTGTATTCTGTCAATCATGTTTTAAATAAATGCTGATTGGCCAGGCAGGAAACCAGACAGGAAGTAGAGGTGCAGCAAAGAGAACAGGGGTATTCTGGGAAGCAGGAAGCTCCCTCTGCCATTCCTGCCCAGACCACAGAGAAGCAAGATGTAACCTGCCCTGCTGATAAAGGTACTGAGCCATGTGGCTAACATAGATGAGAATCATTGGTTAATATAAGTGACAAGAGCTAATAAGAAGACTGAGCTAGTGGGCCAATCAGTTTTTTAACTCATGGAGATCTCTGTGTGATTTTCTTTGGAGCTTGCTGGTTGTGGGGTACCAGGCAGGACAGAAACCCCAACAAGCCAGCCTTCATGTTACATAACTTGAATATAATTAATTCTGATTTCAGTTTAGCTAAAGAAAAGCAAGCTAGTGATAACCTTTGTGAATACTATATTGCAACTCACAAAAAAAGCCAGGAGAAGCTGAATATAGCAGTGCGTTCCTGTGTTCCCAGCACTTCTGAGAGAAATCATGTCAGGGTCAACAGGCGTGAGTTCGTTCCACCTTGCCTAAAGTCAGGGAGTTTAAGCTTATTTTTGCTCAAAGTTGTTGACAACAGGTGTGGCTACAAATAAGAGATCCCTACCTAGGGTGTAGTTAAGACTATTTTGAGTACAGAGGTGGATGTGTTCCACCTTGATCCAAGGGTGGAGAATTCAAGTCTATTCCTGATCCTTCGAGGAAACTGAAAGGAGATTGCAGGGAGTGACTGCCTGCAGAATACTTGGTCTATCACTTATACCATGTTAATGAAGTCTGTTGCCTCCCCCTCCCCATTCAGATATAAGCAGATGGAAAATAAATGTGGGTGATTTCAGTATTCACTGAATTTCCCTCCCAGCGGTTATCTGTGTTTCTGTCTTTTATTTCTCTGATATCTCTGTTCCTTTTGCTTAATAATTCTAATCCTCGTGCTCCTACCCAGGAGCATGCAAACCCCATCGATGCTGGACCCTGACAGAGTCAGAAGAATGATAAGATCAAGCCCAAATGACAGCAGTGTGTCAAACAGGCTCCAGCTTAGTGCTCAGCTGAGGAAAGCAGCCAACTTGATAAGGAGATTAGGTCGGCCAGGGTTCCAGCCCTCCTTATGTGTGAAGCCACAGGCAAGGAGGTATCTTGTGAATTACTGTCCTGAAAGCTGGATGCCAGGGGAAGCATTAATCTTAATGATCTTTATCAATAAAAATCCATGAGTCAGATATCGGGGTAAGAACTTCAAAGTTCAGGGAAGAAGGGAGCAGCCACCAGTTGCTTCTCACCTCTACTATTCCTCTGTGCAAAAGGGCCAATAGCCTCTCTCAGCCCCAACTGACTATTTCCTGTCTTCACTCTGGCTACAGATCTCCAAACCTCTATGGTTAATCTTCCGCCCTCTGACTCCAAGCAAGCTTTATTTGTCAGAACATAATCCAAACTATCACATCAAACTTATGACCTGTGATAACAACATTCCTGCCAAGGCCCCAGGTGTGCCTGATAACCCACAGAGGACAGAAGAGATGTTGAGGACTTAGCCAAGACTGGGCCTTTAGAGAAGACTGTACACGGCCATTATTCTGACCCTTATCACCACTTAGATGAGGGCAGAGGACCTCAGACCCTGACCAAACCACCAATGACAACAGGAAGCCTTGCCTTTTTACAGATGACAGATTTAGGCTCTGTGTCCCTTATTACCAAGATTCTTCAGTACAGTCACCCTTGTAGATTCCAGGGGGTTTCCACTGCAAAAAGTTTCCACATCACCGCACAATGGTACCGATTCCAGTTATCTTTCCCAGTACTCCCTCCCTCCACTTCTTCATCCCTCCTGTACCCATCCCAACCCACCCCCAGTCCACTTGCAAAATCTATTATATTTCCCCATCACAGGGAGATTCATGCCCCACCCTGAAGAACTCTCATTGTCACTTAGCTTCTCTAGGTCTGTTAATTGTAGCATGATTGTCCTTTAATTAACAGATAATGTACACTTAGAAGTGAGTACCTACCATGTTTGTTTTTCTGGGTCTTGGTTACTTAACTCAGGATGATTTTTGTAACTGTTTTAATTGTAACTTGTTGTGCTGTGTTTGTCTGATATCCCCAGGAGGCCTGCTCTTTTTGTTAAGTGGATCTGGTGGCGAAGAGAAGGTAGGGGGCTTAGAGAAGTAGAAGGAGGGGAAACAACAGCTGGAATGTAATGTATGAGAGAATAATAAAAACAATACTTTCAAGTAACAAAATTTACTTATCATTAAGCTGATTTTATTCCAGAAATAATGCAGGAATGGTCTGGCATATTCCAAGATAATAAATGTAGTACATTGTCTCATAAGCAGACTGAAGGACAGGAATCATATGACCATCAATAGATGGAGAAAAGGATTTTCATAAAAGTCCAACATTTAATCAAATAAAACTCTTGAAGAAGGAAGATATCTCAACAAACACGAAAACACACAGAATTTGCAGTCTGTTTAGGTTGCAAGAAGAGTTCACGACCATATATATGTATATGTATATATATATGAATATACATATATATACATGCATACATATATCACATTATTCGGGGCTTCAATGAATTGTTCATCCTGTATATTATCTGTAAATAACTCAGATCACTTGAAATGTTTCTTCTTCCTCTCAAACTAGACAATATTGATAGAGTCGCTTATTTGAAACAGTGCCTGGTCCACACAGGTAGTGTGATGCAGGGAGTTTGTACTGAGACTAATGAATAAGACTTGTGGATTCTAAGCAGCAAGACTCATTGCCCTTATGGAGTCTTGGTATTATTTTGCAGAACATCTTACAGTCTGTTCTCCAGACATCCTGATGTTTGATATTACACTATGGGCCTGGTCTCTTCTTGCATTTTAGGATTTCATTAATGTAAATCAAAACCAGGCCTTCTCTTCAAGAGCACACATATCAAAAACATTTTTCAAACCTTACATTAATTAAGAAACAGTCAAAGATGGAGTATTTTCTTAATGATAATAAGTTTTCACTAATACAAATGATCCAATAAAAGAAGCAATAGCTTAAAAATCAAAGATAAAGAAAAAGAAAAGCATCAAGAAAAAATACTCATACTTACAAAATCAAGAGACTTTAAGAAGGATTTGAAAAACATGCAAAAAGCTAGAACTTCACACTCACTCAGATTCATCAAGAAGTTTTAAGATACCCTTAGACACCTCATTATAAGCATTTATTCCCACTATAAAATCAAGATGACTAAAATTAGGGATAATCTTTTCATAAACAAGGTTGGAGATTTTTGGTTTCAAATTTGCAACATCTCTTGGATCAGCCAAAATGTCTTTCCCACCACTCCGCAAGGCAGTTTGAACCTTCATGGCTTCCACGTTATATAAAGGAGGAGTTGTCTAATGGAAAATAATAAAGAGTTTTTTAAAAAATATAAAACTGTTGATGGCATATTCTTTACTGTGACAAGATAATTGCAATGATATACTTGGTATATCCATAGAAATTATTGATGAAAAATTAACTTTATTTATATATATTTATTTACTTTGGTTTTTGACACAGATACTTTCTATGTGGTCTATGCTGGAATCTTGTCAGAAGCATCCCCTCACAACATTCTTATTCGTGAGGTTACTGGAATGTGTCACCATGTCCAGATTGTAGTGGATTGCGATTCAAGTTTGAAATCTTTCAAGTCCTAAATTCTCTGAACCTCGGTTATTTACATATGTAATGACTATATCATAAATAATAAATCCCACAGGATTTTTTGACATTCAAATAACATGATAGATAGAATATTGTTTTCACAGTATTATCTTACAATAGATAATACTTTTTTGTTTTTAATCCTCTCAAAGTTATGTGTGGTTCATCTTCCTAAGAAAAATAAAATTTGTGCTAATCTTACAAAAAAAGAAGGTTTTGGTTAGATTTCTTATACTATATGCCTTTTGAAAGGGTTAGATCATTAAATCTGGATAAAGAAACTTACCTGATTGTAGTGTAGCATATTTAGAGATCGACTTCCCCAATCATAAGCCTGAAATACACCTTTATTAATTGCCTTAAATAAAGATAAAACATGTCATTACTTTTAAATCCTTATAATAGAACCAGAAGTTATCGAGTTTCACTGCCTCTGTTTAGAATAACGACACATCGTCTCTGACAAACACAGCACATTTTCTATCTCAATGATATGTACTGCCTGATTAGTGGCTAAAATTACAGTCCTAGAAAATTGTACATTGTATGAACATGTATAAAAAGAACACTGAAAACATAAGCTTGCTCTAACATCTCAAATAAAATATACTTTAAAAACATTTTAATAAAGCTTGAAATGTTTCAATTCATATGTACTACACAGCAAGAAGAGTCAATAAGAAGATGAGAAAATAACATTCATAAAAGATAAAAGCTTAGTTACTTAAATATGCATAATTTGTGCATCATTTTATGTTATATTTAGTTTTAGTAGTATGTAGCAAATCTAGGTTTACAAATATTTTAATTATCAAATTTTTAATGATAAGAATATAAACTAATGCCTATAAGAAAAATAAAACATATGAAATCTCAAATTACCATTGTAAAAGTTGCATTATTGCTTTATCACTTAAATAAACTCAAAATATACTTCATAGTAAGTTGGTTGCTATTTGCATTAATATTTTATGTGTAATAAAAGTTTCATTTATATAATTGCTCTGCAATGTTGTATAACGCAAGAATTTTAAAAATATTAAAATAGATGTAGAATAATCTTTATAACTAAAAAATTAAGAAATTGTAGTGATCAGAAACTAGTAACAAAACAAAGTGGAAATGTTTTTAGAGTTGCAGAATCCTTAATCGAAGTTTGTCAACAAAGCAATATAAAGAGGCATCTCTTAGGATGAGAAATATTCTGTTTATTGATAGTGGACTACTAGAATAAAAGTTTTCATGTCACATTTAATGTCAAGATCATGTTGATGTATGGAATTTAAATAGTATACGTTAAAGCATAATTAAAAATCACACTTATAAGTTGAGATGGGCTTTCTTCCTATGTGCAGGTGTCAGTTTACCTCTTGTCAAATAACACTAGTATGATGACCTCATTCTATGCGCAGTGTCTTGGTTGTCACATGAGGGATTCTTTTGAAGAAGTAGGTAGAAGAGTTGTCACACTTTACTCATGGACCTTAAGGGTGCCTGCAATTCTCATCTTGCATCAGTTCATAAAATTAATTACTAAAATTGGTGCTAATTTGATAGAAAATATATGTATATAGATTTACTGATTGAAATAGAAAGACATTCTCTTCCAGGATAAAATGGTATAACCACTGTGCTTTTATCACATTTTCCTGCAATGATTCTACGTACCAATAAGCTCCTTTTATCTATCCAAAGGGACATAATACCCTGGCCACAAATCCAACTGGGGAGAGATTTTTCTGAAACTTATAAAGGAGGAGAATTACAAAAGCGAAAAGAAGGAGACATATTTAAAAGATTGTACCTGACCGTAATGTAGAAGAATTCTAACTGATGACCCAGCTGTACTGTGTGTTATATACACATCAATGCGGCTCTGGAAGAAAGTTAGACACCACATGTGTTTGTTAGTATTCAGTTTCCTTCCACAGAAACAAATCTTTCATAATAGTGAGGCTTTACTACTCCTGTAAAAACACATCTTCAAGGACTGGAGGGATGTCTAAGTGGTTAAGAGCAATTGTTCTTGCAAAGAACCCAGATTTATTTCCCAGCATCTCCGTGGTGGCTCACAACTGTCCATGACTCCAGTTCCTGGGCATTCAGTGACCCTATGTGTGCCAGATGGCACACAGACATAGATGCAAGTAAGACAGTCATGCAGTATATCTCCAATCAGTATATAAAGAAAAAAACTGGGTTTTAATCACAGCGAGGAATCTAAATGTTCTTGTTTTGAGTATTTTCTTTAATTTTTGAATTAAAATGCAATTACATAATTTTCCCTTTTCTTCGGCCTGAAATCCCTACCACACACCCCACCTTGTTTTCTCTCACCTTCACTACTTGTTGACTATTTTTCCTTAATTGTTTTTACATATTCCTAAATATATAGATACTATCTTCTCAAGTCACATAACATCACTTGTGTGTCTATGACATAAGGGCTCTCCACTGAGTTTTATTAAGTTGTTTTCATGCACACACCAAAGGTTGAATATGACCTTCTCAAGAGAGTTGACTCTAATTTTATTTATTTATTCTTTTCATTTATTCATTCTCTCATGTTTCACATCCAGACTTCATTTCCTCCATTCCTCCAAGCCACATCCCCCACCTCCCCTCTCCCCAAGATCCACCACTCCTCCATTTCCTTTCAGAAAAGGGCCGGCCCCCCAGGTATATCAGCCAAACCAGGCATATCAAGTTGTAATAAGCCTAGGTACAGTCCCCTCCTATTAAGGCTGTACAATCAACCCAACTCTGATTGTGTTAACAGTAACTAGACTGTGGGTTTTGATTTTAAGTTGTACAAAGGATAGAATATACACCGAATAGCAAAGATTACACAGCTTAGATATTAACAAAATATAAGCTAGTTTATTTACTTTTCATGTCTTAAAGAATTTCCTTTTGTCAATGATTCATATTTTATATGATAGTTTATATGAAAATATCCTTAGGTCTGGAACAGAAGTGCTGGATGATCAGTTACCAGATGAATTAGACTGAAGTGAGTAGAAGAAGAAAATGAAGCTCATTCCTACTTGACACCCAACTATTTACTCATATGGTGGTTTATACCAGATTTTCTACGTTGTCATGTTGATAACTTCGGAATTACATGCAAAGCACATCTTGACTTGAATATTGACCATACTAAATGAATTAAAGATTAATTTGCCAAATAAACTTGTTACGTCATCAGCATGAAAAAAGGCAATGAATTTGAAAGAAAACAAAACGTACCTTATTTAGCTGCTCTGGAGCATATCCAGTCATCGAAGCCAATAATGCAGCACATGCAGTATTGATTACTTCAATATTGCACGTGTATCCAGATATCTTACTAAAATCTGCAGTTGGTAAAAATTCCTTTTCTCCAAAAAGAAGCTGCAATTGACAAATTTGAAGAACAACTCTTAGTCTGTGTGAAAACACAATGTTTATAGGAAGTGAAAGACATAAAGCAAAGCCCCAGCATGTTACTGAAGCGTGGATTGACTTAGTTCATTGTTATGACATTCAGTACATAATTTGAGAAAAAGCTTCCTATGATTATTTTGAATCAGTTTCAGATGAATGAAAACTTCTGAGAATCATGAGTCTTGTGATATGACAGCAGCCTTCTTTTTCTTTATTGTAGAGGGTCTACTCAGGATTAATATCTGGCAGGCTTGTTAAATTAAGGAGGGCAAGGAAATTATGATGTGTGTTTATAATAGAATGAAAACATGTCCACACAAAAGAGTTGTAAATGAGCAAAATAAACCCCGAGAGAGCTCCTGTCAATAGTCTATACAGATTAAGTGAATGTGGTATATTTACCTTTTAGACTATTATTCTTCAACGAAGAAGCATCTTAATGCATAGCACAAATGAACTAACATATTCACACAATTTGAGAGAACCATCATATAAGACATCGCAATGCCTAGTTCCATTTAGATGTAATGACTAATTCAGCAACTGTAGTAGACGCAGCAGTGATTAGAGGTGCTGTTAAAAGGAGACAATAGCAACTTCACTTTGAAATGATAGCAGGTAATTTTTTTTGAAAACCATACACAAAATGCACACAAAACAAGAGTTCTCAAACACTGGATATTAAACTATGAGAGATTTTCATATGTGAAAAATATGGATCTCACTGAGTGCTGTATTGCCCACTTGTTCCGCAAACAGGATTCCCAGCTTGACGATACGTGGTTGGATGCTGTGGGAGTTGGTGCAGGTGACAACTAGTGTCCAGTTTTCAACCCACCCAGAGGAATGATTCCCTGATGGAGGAGAATCCATCCAGGCAAGGGCGACGGGACAACTGATCTAGAAACTTGCTCCCGTCTGTAATTTAACATGAGCAAAAGCAGCTAGGGTGTCTCCCCAATATCTGCACTGCACATCACCTCATGTGATGTGTATGTGTAATCTCATGATTGCACCTCAAGTTTATGGCTACACATATCCGTACGTGGTCTGGAAGATGACTTCTCATTAAAGCTATGCAATTTTGATATGTAGAAACTATGTTAGGATATACTTCATAATTAGATCTATTGTCCCATGAGGACTGTAAGACACTTAAAAACCTGCTTTGTTCTTTCGACTCAAACTACACACAATTAGCTCATTTTTACCTTAGAGCAAGTTCAAACTAGACTAAATGTTTCTGTCAATGGATCTTAAGTTTAAAACTTTGCAGATATGTACAAGGTCAGAGTTTCAAACCTCTAACTAAAATTATTAACACCAAGCAACCTAAAAAAATCATGCCAAGTCTGGATGATAAAGAGCTATGTCTCACAGCGTGTATTGCCCAACTAGCCTGATCCAAACACTGAAAAGCCATGAGAGTTACAAATGGAGTATAAAAGGTACTTGCTTCTATGTTAATATTGTCAAGCAATGATTTAAAATTTTATTATATAAAAGAGAATATGATAAGCACATGGTGATTTAATCTCTGTATGTTTTTCATTGTTTTTTTAATTTTTTTTAAAAGTTTTGCTGTGTATCCTAGGCCTGCCTGGTACTACCGATGAAGCTCAAGATGGTCACAAATTCAAACTTTTTCTGTTTGTTCTGCACATACACATTAACCTTTCTAAAAAAATAAATATTTTCAAGAGAATCATTTGTACAATTATTTAAAATAGTTGGAAATGTAAACAAGAAATAATGAAGTCTTTAATAAGAAAGGGACATTGGTTGCATAAGCGAAAGAATATAATTAAAAGATATTCTATCTGTAGTCACAAGTAAATGCAAATGAAACCAGAGTTTGTCACTCTGAACCCAGAAGAGGAAAAAAGTGTTTAAGAATCTTAAGTGATGTCAAGAAAGTCCGGGAATTTTACCATCATACTTTGATGATGGCCAACAATATCCTAGACAACCTTGGAATCTGATACTGTCATAAGATGAAACCCATACTGACAAAGTGAAAATTGCCATCACCTTGAAGGTTAATATTTGCAATTCATCTCTAATGAACATATATCCTAACAGTTCTACAATACTACGGCAGTAGCTGTATAATAAAATAATTATATCAAGAACACTGAAGAGAACTTAGTGTATACACTGGCAAAGTGAGAGCAAATGGAAGAGAAAATGTACAACTAACAAAATTTAGTGTGCAAATTTTAAGAAGACAGTAATAGAAAACTTGAAAATGAAATACAGGGTAAGATAAACTGCATTAGGAAATATTTCAAAACATTAATGAAAACAACGTGAGCAGTTCAAAACATGTGACCATGCATACAAGGAACACTGAATGACTTAGGTATGTACATGTGAGTGTGTGATGATAACAATGAAAGATGTCATGAATTTGAGGAGGGCACGGGAGGAGAGAGTTTACAGAATGATGGAAATGATGTTTATACAGTACTAATGTATGACATTCTCAAAATGAAAAATTAAATTAGTAAGAAGCAGATATAGGTAAAAGAATATTACAATCATGATTAAGAAAGTGCATAAGACAGAACTCAGGCTGCCCAACTTTGAGGTGAGATTTGCTATAGCCAATCAGGGGAGGCTTTGCATGCAGGTGAATCAGCACTAGATTGTACTGGCAAGTTTCCTCTTTAGCAAGCTTATGTTGAAAAATGTAAGTATATCACCTTTTTGAGTTCATCACAAACTTTGAAAGCTGTTGGAGTGTAGTAAGCTGGAAGGCGCCCAAGACCTTGGACATATTTAACAGTAGCAACTGGAGCCAGTAAAATACTGAGTTTAATCTTTTCAGCTAGTTGTTGATTTGTCGAAAATGCTCCCAGAGCTGGAAAAAATAAAAACAGACTTCTTTCTTTCTTTCTTTCTTTCTTTCTTTCTTTCTTTCTTTCTTTCTTTCTTT